GGATTCCTGTGTGTTGGAATCCTTCTGTGCTGCTCCAGGATTCCAGTGTGCTGCAATCCTTCTGTGCTGCTCCGGGATTCCTGTGTGTTGGAATCCTTCTGTGCTGCTCCAGGATTCCTGTGTGTTGGAATCCTTCTGTGCTGATCCATGTGGGCTTTGGGCTTCTGGGCTGCCAGGAAACAGTGAAAGATTGTGCTTACCTTATTTTCTTCAAACTTCTATTTTTGATCTTCTCTCAGTCCAGTTTGGACTCTGAAGGGTCTGAGTCAGGCAGATTTGATGATGTTTTATTTTATATATCAGAAAACACTGAAGTTGTGGGAGTTTCACCTTACTGGAGACATTCAGTGTGGTGCTAAATCCAGAACTTGTGCTTTGCCACCTCTGGGAAATGGGCTGAACTTTGATTAACAGAAGGGATAATTGCCAGTCTCCAGAGACACAGATTCAAGGCTTCACTCTCAGTTCTAGTGACAATTTTTAAATTAATTTGTTCTAATTTTCCACTGTCACAGTGAATCTCCTGCGCAGCCCTTGCTTTGGGAATTGGGCCACTGGGCTGACAAGCTGAAGTCCCCAGTTCACAGAATACTGAGCTGGAAATGACATGGAAATTCGTGTCAGAGACAGCATTTGCAGCTCTTGGTCACATCCTCTTGCCATCTTTGGCAAATATACAATCTGAATTCGAGCATGAGAACACTGTAATTCTCACATTTATTTTTTGTGCCCACCACTGATGGCAACTGGCTTGTTTGATTTTTTGTCACATGTAAATATTTTATTCAGGTCCAGTGTAACTGACTCTGGCAAGTGGGATGTGGCCTCCTCAGTTCCTGCGTGGAGGGCTGTGCCCAGCTCTGGTGACAGTCTGGCAGCACTGGGGGGTTTGGGAGAGTTTTATTTTTTTTCTAATTATTATTAAAAAAAAAAAGAAAAGAAAGAGCTAGGTGAGAGAAAATGCTGTGTGTAAACGCTTCCCAGATATATTGCTGTGCCAGGTACGGCATGGGTTTGTTCCAGTTTATTCTAAATGTTATTTGAAGGTGTGCACATCTGTTCTGAGGCTGCCTGAGCCCATAGGCAGAGGCACTGCAGCCTGGGCTGTGCATGTTCTGTCCCAGTGGTTATTTTCCAACGTGCAGACTCTGGCAGGTCAACATGATGTCTTGCCTGGAATTTCCTTGCATTCTAAAATTAGGAGAAGGCTCTAGGAAACAATAGCAAATCAAGTCTCTAAACTCCTGCTCCCCCTGAACCTTTGTTGTCATTTAGACTTTCACCCACTTCCTTCTCACTGAGCTGGTTTGCATTAGATAAACTAAGTTAAACTAAGTTAAACAGAGCCCACGATGAAACTAAGTTAAACTAAGTTAAACAGAGCCCACGATGATCAGTGGTGAGAGGGCTTACTTTTCATTTATTTACTCGTTATACAATTGTTATGCTACTTTGGGCCACCAGGAGTGTGAGTTTCTCATCGGTGCTGTTCGTCCCAGAGCACTTTGTGTGTCAGGGGTGCTGTGGAAGCGGGACAGCTGCAGGGCCCTGGTTTGGTGCCCTCAGACACCCTTGTGCCCAGCAGTGTGTCCCGACGGGGATCTGGGAACTGCAGAGGTTTCGATCTGCAGCAGAAACTTCTCCAGGTACACCACCAGGTTGGGATCAGGGACACCCATGGTTGTCCCTGCTGAAGGGCTGAGCAGCTCCATCGTGCTCTGCACCTTGGGGGGTTATGTTTGCTCCACCTCTTCATCCTCACCCCTCCCTTGGCTGCTCTGTGCTCTTGTTCTCTGCAGTGTTGTGGGGGTCCCACCACCCCACACCTCACGGTACCTCCCGGCTGTTCCTGGGGAGGTCTGTCCCAGCAGCTTTTGTGCAGGTGGATGCCTGGAAATGTATCACACTTGAGGAGGGAGGTTCAGAGCTCATTCTGGTTTGATCCCTCTCAGCCTGTGCTGCATGAGCAGCCCTGACTCTGTGTTTCTTGACCTGTGAGTGATCTTAGGGTTCCCTGTGCTGCTGTGACCCCCTCCCTGCCTCTGCCGAGGACAGACACAGGGTGATGTGGATTAGAAGTGGCTTCTGCTTGTCACTGCACAGACCTGAGTTTGTTCCAGGTCACTTCTTAAACGATCTCATTTTCTGCAAGTGGCCCCAGGTTGTTTGTTTATTATTCCCAGCACTCCAAAACAATCCAGGAAATGCAGCAAACACCCCAGCCCTGGTTCCCATCCTGTCCAGGATCCGACCTCCGGCAATGGTTAGAAGCAGCTGCAGGATTTGCTCAGTTGATGATTACAGTCCATTGTGTTTAGAAAACTCACCGGGCCTGGTGGTGTCTTGGAGGAGTGTGATTGATGGATCGTGGAATTTGCCATCTGCAGCAGATGGAGTTATGGAGCCAGGGTGGGTGTGAAGAGGTTAGGTGTTGTGAGGCCCCTTCCAGTCACCATTCCTATGGCTGTTGTGTTTGTAGAAAGGAATTTTCTTTCCTTCTCTAGTTTTGTGTTACTTGGGCTGGACAGCTCACCTTGGCCTTTTCCATCTGGCACAAGGGGCACAAACACCCTCCCTGATTGTGAGAGGGCCTGCCACTGATGTCCTGATAAAACATCCTGAGCAGCAGATGTGTGTGATAGCGGGGGCAGCACTTTGGACTGGAAATCTCCCTGTGTTTCTCCCTGGCTGGCTTGCCTGGACCAGACTCAAACTCGAGTGTCTGTCGCAAACTGCTTTAGAGTGACTTCCCCGTGGTGCTGGCTTTGAGAGCCTGAGGCAAACTCTTATTGTAGGAAACAAGGAATGTCCAGTTTGTATCCTACACGGGAGGGAGAAGAAGAGTGGGATAACAAATACTAAATGAATGATTGAGCTAAACTCATTTATGCCTCTATTCTTTCACCATCATCCCTTGTAGCCTTTCGTGGGGGCTCATTCATGCAGTGACTGCCCTGGGAGGGCCTGGCCAGGACAGGGGTTATGGGAGCAGCCAAGTGTCTCAGGGATGGCCCTCAGGCTTGTCCTGAGGTGGGGAGATGGGTTTCCCCCAGAACTGCTGCTGACCCAGTTGTGTCTCTGTCACAGCCTTTCTTCAGGCTCCTGAACCTGCGCAAGCTGGGCCTGAGCGACAATGAGATCCAGAGGCTTCCCCCCGAGGTGGCCAACTTCATGCAGCTGGTGGAGCTGGACATCTCCCGCAACGGTAAGGCTGGAGCTGGGCAGGAGTGGTGCCCAAGCCCTGCAGTGCTCCCGGTGCCCTCTGGCTGGGAGAGGCAGTGCCCTTTCCACACCCTGTGGAGCAGTCCCTCGGGGATCCTCAGCTGGGACAATGAGGTTGTCTTACCGTGGCTCAGGCTGCCATCTGTACCTGCTGTCCCATTTTCCACATGCTAGGCTTTTCTCAAGCCTCTTTTGTTCTTTCACCTATTTTTTCCAGACATTCCAGAAATTCCTGAAAGCATCAAATTCTGCAAATCCCTGGAAATCGCAGACTTCAGTGGGAATCCTCTCTCCAGGTAAGAAGGCATATGTGACCAATTAGTCCAGCTGAGAAGAAGAGTTGAAGTTGCTTATTCTCCCTGGCTTTCTCTGGTCTTCATCTTGTTATTGTCTTCCTGTGAAGCCAAGGCCTGGGATCGCCCTGCCTGTGCCAAACCTGCAGGTGTCTGCTCTCCTGGCAGGCGAAACACTCGGCTCAGGGAGGAGCTGCTGTGTGCTCTTTCCTCTGCAGGGCCTGTGCCTTGGATTGATGAGCCCTTAGTTGTACTGGTGTCAGTGATGAGGACTTTGCTCCTGGAATGAGTCTGTTGCTCCCTCCCCATCCCTTCACTGTGGTCACAAACCAGAATGGACATGGGCTGACGCTGCAGAGGAGGAAAGGCCTGTGTGGTGCTCTGCCCTCTCGGAGCCCCCTTTGTGCCCCCTCTGTGCTGCAGAGGAGGAAAGGCCTGCATGCTGTCCTTTGCTTCTTCTCAACCCCCTTTTGCCCCTTCTCAGTCCCTTTTCCCTTCCTCTCTTATTCAGAACTGATGAAACTGTCTTTTGAACCCCATGTTAGGTTGTTTCCCTGATATCTCAGTGCCCCGAGCTGTGCCCGACTGGGAATCTCTGCCTTGTCTCTCAGCCCTCTGTCTCTACAGTTTTAATCCATAATGTTTGGGAATTCAGTGTGGCTCCCCTGCCTTGATGAGCCGTGTTTTTGGGCACTGGTGTTTTGCTGCACCGTCTGTTGGGGTCCCTGCAGGGGCCACTGAGGCCCCAGGTGCCCCCTGCACTTTGTGCTCAGGGCAGGTGCTGCCCAGGTCTCCCTTTAGGCAGATTTAACTTTGCTTCCCTCCTGTGGTCCTGGGACAATCCAGCACTTCTTCACTAGGTGTTATTTGTCAGAGCCTTTTCCTGGCCCAGGTTGAGATGAGTGTGGGGAGACGGGGGCTCCAGGGGCTGCCTGCAAACAGCAAAGGAATTCCTTCCTTCAGGATTTTTCCCTGTTCTGTCACACCATGGAGCTGTTGTGATGGTGCTTGGTCCCAGGGAATGCTGCAGTGAAATATCCTTTGTTGGGCACTTGTAGTGCTTGGGAGCCCTCTCTGCTTCCAAGTCCAAATGATCCCATGGCATGATTTAGTGTGGGATTCATGCTCGAGTACTGCAGAGCTGAGTTTGCACACCTGGACAGGTAGTGTCTTGTGCAAGGGGCTTTTTGGTCTTGGGAACAGAACTTGTCCTGCATCAGTAGCCAGACTCAGCGTTGGTTCCTGCCTGTTTCCTTTCCATGTCTTGATACTACTTGGGAGAAGACTGGCTTAGGGGGAATTTCGGTGTTTTGGGGCATTCAGTGCTTTGTACACAGGATTAATGGAATTTTGTTTGTGCTCTCACAGGCTTCCTGAGGGCTTCACCCAGCTCCGGAGCCTGGGCCACTTGGCCTTGAATGATGTGTCCCTGCAGAGCCTCCCCACTGACATTGGGAAGTGAGTATGGCCCTGTCCTGGCAGCGGGGAGAGGGCTGGGGTGGGGACAACACACTTGTGGGGTGGGGACTGGCAGGACCTGGAGGGATGAGCCAGAGGCAGCTTTGCACCAGTGCTGGCAGTGCTGTGTGGGCACCCCTGAGCCTTGGTTTGTTAAAAACCTTTCTACAAAGGTTCCTGTCCTGGCCCCAGCAGCTTCTCCTCCTGTGGTCTGTGGTGCAGTAAGGAGTGATTCAGGCTTCTCAAATCCTGCCTTTCCCTATGTTCCTGGTGCCCATTTGCCCCTTTCCAAGCAAATGATGACTTTGGAATTATTTATGCTGCTGGAAAATGGTTCCGTGGGACTTTGCCCATGGGGTACAGTGCCCTTCCCATGGGCTTTTGCTTTCCACACTTGAGGGATTTTACCTTTTTGGGCAGGCAGTCCTGTTGTGGTGGCGTGTTCCTTGTCCTGAGTGTGGGCACAGTGTTGTTCGCCGTGACTGCACCAAGCGCTCGCCTCCATCAAAGCCATTTCCACCCCCGCTGTTTTTGTTCCCCCATCTCCATCCACGTGTGCACACTCATGCCTTGTGCAGGACACGAGGGGTCATCCCAGGGGAAGGGAGATGAGCAGCTCCTTGCATCCCTGAAGCCCTGTTCAGTGAACCTGGCTTTCTCGCTCCCTTTTCTCTTGCAGTTTGGCAAACCTCGTGACTTTGGAGCTACGTGAGAACCTGCTAAAGACTCTCCCCACGTGAGTGTGTGTCTGGGGGCTGTAGGAGGCTCCTGCCTCATCATTCTTGCTGCTTCCTTAGGGACTGATTCCTCAGGGACTAGTGCAGGCTCTGGCACTTGGCTTGGGAGGGCACAGGCTGGGCATCCGGCTGCGTCTGGCTGAACTTCAGTAAATTGGGGTGAGGAGGGAGAGGATGGTGCAGGGCTAGAGAACAGGGAAGGATGTTCAGAGCCTCTATGCAATCTCTGTGTCAGGATTGATTTGTAATAGACAGGGTTCCCCAAAAAAGCTTCTGGAAATAGTGAGAACCATTTTTCCTGGAGAGGTGGAGCAGACAATGGATTATTTTGGAAAAAGAGAGAAAACTGTACGGATATGGGCATAGGAGGAGCTCTATGCACAGTGAGGTTTATGGTTTGAAGAGCAGCAGGATACAGCTGAAGGTACATTTTGCTTCTGACATGTTTTGTTGGGTATCCCTCCTGGTTGTTCTGGATGGGATAACTGCCTTCCCTGCAGCAGACAAAACATAAGCCAGCAAGAGAGAAGAGGTAAGTGTTGTTAAATGTTTCGGAGTTAGGGACAGGGATGAGTTCCTGGTAGGGGACCTGGTTAGTGCAGGTGATGCTCTCAGGTGGCTGGACGTGGAGAACTAACCAGTCCATACAATAATCTCTGCTTTGAGCCATGACAGTCGTTTGTTCAGTTTTCTACCCTCCATCAGCTCTGTCAGCTTGTTTCCTGCCTGCTTATCCATCCCACTGATGATTCCCCAGCTTTTCCTGTTGGTAGGGATTCTACCTGACCCTTTTTTTGAACAGCAACGTGTTTTGGGCCACACAAACTCCTCCGTGAAGGTGTGACACATGCAGTTGTTATCACCTGTCCTCAGGGCTCTCTTACTGTTCCTGGTGGGAATTCAGTTCAGCTGCTGCTATTTTTCCCCTTTGCTCCTCTGGTTTATTTGAGGGAGAGGGCAAGGGAGGCAGCTGGTGATCCCATGTTGAGGCATTTGGGGCTTTAGTCTGGCTGGTGTGATGGCCATGCCTCCCTCGGAGATGCTGCTTTGGCTCAGGCTCATGCTCTTGCCAAGGTTATTTCCCTTGGGACCTGCAAACACAGGCTTTATGTGGCACCAGTTGTATCTGCTTGTAGAATTCCTGCAGCAGCTTCAACTCAGAGGACAAGACCCTTCTAAAAGGAGCTAAAAGGACCTGCCCTGGTCAGCTCCCAGGCCTCAGGTCTGGTGGTTACACCACATAGAAGCACAGATCAGAATCACACGATCACCTTGCTCTGGTGCCAGAGTCACCGGATCTTTTCTGCACAGAACTTGTCAGCAGTGATGCTGTCACAGAAAGGTGATAGGAAGGGACCAGCTGAGATGGTCCCGTGTGGAATATCACCACAGGGAGAAAACAAGAGCCAGAGCTCCTTATCACAGAATCCCAGGGTGGTTTAGGTTGGGAGGGACTTTAAAGCTCATCGTGTTCCAAGCGCTGCCATAGGCAGGGACACCTTCCACTAGATCAGGTTGCTCCAAGTCCCATCTGGTCTGGCATTGAACACTTACTCCAGGCTGAGAGTGAGCGAGCAGGAGGAGTTTGGGTCCTGGTGTTGAGCCCTGCTGCTCTCTGGGCCTGTGCCTGGGTGTTCATACAGGCAGGTACCACTGCTGGGTTCCTCCGTGTCGGCGAAGAGGTGCGGTAGCTGCGTCCAAAGCTGGGCTTTCAAGCTGCACTGAAGATGGTCCCCATGGCTTTTCACCATCTCAGAACCAGCAAGTGTTTGAAGTCTGAGAATCCAGTCTGTGACCAAAGCCCTTGGGTCTCCATGGAGAACTCTCATGCCCAGTGCTCCCATGTTGCCCTGTGGTAGATCAGGGTGCCGTGCACCAAGATACTTGTGTGCTATGAGGTGTTGGAGTTTTTCACTGGAAGATTAGTCTGGGCTTGATACTCATTCTGCAGTGCAATTCCAGCTTCTTTTCATCTTTCTTCAATTCCCAAAATTTTATTTTGGGATGACTTCCAAAAGTAGGAAATGGATCTTACAGGCCAAGGCAATTCTGATCAGATGTGTCAGTCAGATATGAGATCACAGTGGGCAGCCAAAGCCATGTCAGTGGTACTGTCAGGTTCCCTGCCCAGGCCTGAGGCTCTGGTACTTACTCTGGCTGCCCATCATGTCCAAGAACGACTCTAAATGAGTCCAGGTGACCTTGCCAAAGAGAAGAATGACTTACCCAAATGGCTTTGTTTTCAAGGTTCCTGAGCCCAGTGGGTAGATGGGCTTCAACACTGAGAATTTGGGATGACATAATCCATCAGTGTCGTTTTGGGATTTGTTGTTTTTGTTCAGCTCCTTGAAATATCCAGCTTGCAGTGACCTTTACTTGCCAAAATTCCATTTCATTGGTCAGTCTTCTGCTATCGACTGAGTTCTGAAACAATTCAGCTTGTACAGTTGATAATCACCCCTCATCTCTCCCACACAGATGGGACACAGCCAATGACTTGGGAAGGGCAGCTCTCGGTGGTGTGTTCTCATGGAATAGTGGAGGGTGATCTGTACTGATCCAGTCCTTATACATCAGCGTGGATTCCACAGCTCACTTGTCCCTGTTCTGGGAATTCAAGCTGTGATGGTGCAAAGGGACAGTCAAGGCTGCATCACCTTTAGAGCAGTCAGAATCGATGTGCAGTCGTGGTGAGGGAGTGCTGTGCAACAGGATCCTTTGGATGATTCTGTTGATAAACCTTTGCTGGAGTTAATGTCATATCTCAAAGTCCACACTGCATGCAGTAGGAACTTGCTTTTCCAGCATAGCCCAAACGTTTTTACAGCCTGGCCCAGGCAAGGCAGCTCCCTTTTATTGCAGCCCCAACAGCCTTGCTTTGGGTGGTGTTGACAGGTGGAGCTGTTTCCAGAGGAATATGAGGATTTCTGTTTTGGGACAGTTCCTTAGGAAGAGAATAAAGCTGTTCCTTGCTGGGGGAGTGGGCAGGGCTGGGCTGGCAGCTCTGCCCTAGAACACAGTGAAGGGCAGCAACCCCCCTCTGGGGAGGTGGGGTTGGAGCTGATGGGTCAAACTCAGGAGTGAGGACATGTGAGCACCTGGGCCATATCAGGTAAACCCACTCCTGGGTTTGTGGGACTGCAGGTCTTGTCCTTCCCCAGGTGTGATGTGTGGGGTGCTCGGGATGTGTCCATGGGCCACTAGTGGGGACAAAGCTGTAGGTCCTGTTCAGTGTCTTCATAGTGAGCTTCTGTCTGTACATCGTGACCTCACCTGAGACATCGTGCCACTGTTGTCTTCCCTTCCTCTTCAGCAGCATGGGCATCCCGTTTGGGGAAGCTGAGGTTGTTGAGTTTGTCATTCCTCCCTGTCCCTGCAGCTGTGTTCCCCTTGCCCCCAAACATGTCTTGTCTGCCAAGTCCCTCCTGTTACCTGTCAGTCCATGCCCTGGTCCCTGTCCTTGCTGCAGGAACGAGTAGTGACGTGAAGATGTGGCTGGTCATCTGTTATGGTTTTGCTCATTTTGTGGTGGGAGGGGGAGAAGGCAAGCTGTTATCAGTGAAACTGGCTGTACTGGGACTGCTGGTGCCTCTAAACTCAACTCCTTGGGGCTGAGGGTCTGGCTCGGGGAAGGTACCAGCTCCCTAAACTGCTCTCGGCTCAGAGGGACTGTGAGAAAGGTCAGGATTGCCCCACCTGCTTTAGGAGTTATTAGAGATCATGTGATTTGTGTGATGTGTGTCCCAGATGTTAACCTTCCGCTCTTTGTTTCCTGTTTTATCTCTCTCCCCTCTCTGCCCCCTGTGCCTTGCAGTTCACTCTCCTTCCTTGTCAAGTTAGAGCAGTTGGATCTCGGTGGCAATGACCTGGAAGTACTGGTAGGTGAGGGCTGGTGGGGAGGGAATGTGGGTGGTTGGTAGGGGCAGACCCTCTGTGCAAGCAGGTGGGTTTTCACCTGAGATGCAAAGAAACAGACCTACAGGTTGTTTGGGAAGATTCTGATTTGCCCAGCATGGCCCAGTTGTTCTTCCCAGATTAATGTTCTCTTCATGTGTCAGCCCTTGTGTCTTGTGCCCTGCTGGCCTCACACACAGCTCGCTCTGCCCTTTCCAAGTTCTGGGATGGTAATTCTTCCTGTCTGGCTGCCAAGGATCTTTCTGAGGAGCCTGTCTGGTGCTTCCCTTCTCCTCTGTCCTGCACTGCCCCCAGCTGTTTTTCTTCTCATCCAACTTCCTGCCTTTCTCCTTTCTGATTTGATTTCTGCCCTGTGGAGTGCTGGGCCATTCCATGTTGTCCCTGGCAGTAGGGGCAACCCAGTGTGGGGGTTGTCTCCATGGAGGGCTCAGTGTGTGGAGAGCCAGGGCACAGTCTCAGAATTCATCTTGCCCGGGTGTTCAGGGACACCCAGTGACATTCTGTAACTTTGCAGCTGTGGATTAAGCTGTTACTGGATCCTGCTCTTCGTGTTCTGGAATGGGTTTTGGCAGAAAGCCATCAAAACTGGGAGGTGAAGGGGTTTGTGCAGCTTTGCTGTGCAGAGGCTGAGCTCACCTGTGAGAACAGGTGTCTGACATGTGAGCCACACTGCAGTGGAGCAGGAACTCCAAACCCAAATGCTGATCAGTGGGGGGTTTTTGGGGTATGAACATATGTCTGCCATGGCTGCTGGAGCCGCTGGGTTGTGTTGAGTTGGCCAGTGGTACCCGAGTGTTTGTTTCCATGTGTGAGAGGAGGAAGACCCATTTCATCTGTAAGACCAGAGCTTCCAACTCCCTAGAATCATGGAGTCATTTAGGTTGGAAAAGAACTCTGAGACCACGGAGCCCAACTGCTCCCTCAGCACTGCCAAGGCCACCACTGCCCCATGTCCCCAGGTGCCACATCCACATGGCTGCTAAACCCCCACAGGGATGGAGACTCCACCTCTGCCCTGGGCAGCCTGTGCCAGGGCTGGACAGCCCTTTCCAGTAGGAATTTCCCCAATATCCAACCTGAACCTCTCCTGGCACAACTTGAGGCTGTTTCCTCTTGTGCTGTCCCTTGTCCCCTAGGAGCAGAGCCCCACCCCAACCCGGCTTCACCCTCCTCTCAGGGAGTTGTGGAGACCAAGAAGGTCCCCCCTGAGCCTCCTTTTCTCCAGGCTAGGCTGCCCCCAGCTCCCTCAGCCGTTCCCCATCAGACTTGTGCTCCAGATTTAGTTTTTACCTTGCCCACTGCTAGACAGTCCTTCTGTTGCCTTCCATGTTTCCTGTGGGACCTCCTGCAGCCAGTGGGCTGCCCCAGACATTCCCAGACATCTGTGCTTCTATCTTGTAATAAACCGTCCAGTGGATGGTCTTGGGAGGTGTGAGAACCAGAACAGTGCCTGGCTTTGCAGAGTGTGGTGTATTTGTAGTGTCCTCAAACAGCTTCTCCCCGTGGAAGGGACTGGTGCCATCACTGTCCTGTCTCTTACAGCCGGACACTCTGGGCGCGCTCCCAAACCTGCGCGAGCTTTGGCTGGACCGGAACCAGCTCTCGGCCCTGCCTCCGGTGAGTGCCATTTGAGGCCCTCGCTCAGCCCTCTGCCCCTGCCCCAGCTGCTCCCTGGAGCTGTGGTGTCTCCTCTCTGATCCAGGAGCTGGGCAACCTCCGCCGACTGGTCTGTCTGGATGTGTCGGAGAACAAGCTGGAGCAGCTGCCCAACGAGGTCAGTGGGCTGGTGGCACTGACGGACTTGCTGCTGTCACAGAACCTGCTGGAATGCATTCCGGATGGGATCGGTGAGTGCCACGGGATGGGGACCACTGCAGGGCTTCACTGCCTGGACAGTGCTTCTGGGGGAGCTTCAGGCAAGAGTGTGTGTGACAGAGAATTAGGGCTTTGTGGGCACAGGTACAGTCACTGAGAACAGAAGCAGTGGGTGATACAAGTGGGCAGAACTCTCCAGGAGAGTTCAGGTACTTCTTCTGCATCAGGCGTGGATGAGGCCTGTGAACAGGCCTGGTGGGAGGAAAGGCAGAACCTGTGTTGTTGGGTTACATGATCTCTGATGGGATCATGGCCAGGTGAGTGTAGAACAGCATCCTTCCCCCTGGCACAGCTCACACCTAACTTGTTACCCTGGCCAGGTCAGCTGAAGCAGCTCTCCATCCTCAAGGTGGACCAGAACCGGCTGACAGACGTGACAGAGTCAATTGGGGACTGTGAAAATCTGTCAGAGCTCATCTTGACCGAGAACATGCTGACGGTGAGTGCAGGGCAGCCACCTGCCCCTCCTGTGCTGTTCAGTGTAGCCACCTGCCAGGGATCCCTTCCCTTCTTCTGCCCTCCGAGCTGGATTCCTGAGTGTGCTCCAGCTGCTTCCATGCAGAGTTTCACCGAGCTCACAAGGTCTTGGGAAGACCCTGGTGGAAGCTGCTTTCTCTCACTGATATTTTTTTTTTCTTTCCTCTGAAAAATTCTTTGGGATGACTGGGGTGCTGGGATTTCCAGTCCCAAAGCCCATCCAGGCTGCACTGGCAAGGGGGTCGTGGGATGGTTTGATTGACAATGGCCCTGCTGCAAACTGCCCGTGATTTGACTGGTAAAACACAAGGATTGGGAATGAGCAGATGAACAGGAGGAAAGTCTTGACCAGTGGTGGTCTGAGTGTGGTGTGCTGGGGGGAAGAGTTGGCATGGATCAGTCTGTAAGCCCAAGGGAAAAGCAGTCTCTAAATTGTCCTGAAGACTGTTATCCCAAATGAGTCTGTTGGGACAGGAGACAGCTTGTTCCCCAAACTGTGCCTTTTAGCCTTCCCCAGAGGGCTTTGTGCCTTTTACCTCAATTCTGCTGCTCTTTCCTCTTGCAACCACTGACTTGGCTCCTTCCCAGGCCTTGCCCAAGTCTCTGGGCAAACTGGCCAAGCTGACGAACCTGAACGTGGACCGGAACCGTCTGACGGCGCTGCCGGCGGAGATCGGGGGCTGTGCCAACCTCAACGTGCTGTCCCTGCGGGACAACCGCCTGGCACTGCTGCCCCCTGAGCTGGCCAACACCACCGAGCTCCATGTCCTGGATGTGGCTGGGAACAGGTGAGCAGCAGGAACGGGCAGGGGCTGGCAGGGGTGTTCCTGGGCAGGCTGCTGCGAGGGAGATGCTGGATACATGTGGATCCTGGGATCTGCAGTGTGGAGAAGCCCAGGTGGGCTGCTAGTGGATCAGCCTTTGCCTGGGAAGCCCTTCTCTGTGTCACCTGAGCACAGGGTGGAGATAACACAGAAGTGTGAGGGCATTTTGCCACGTGTGAAATAAGGATCAGGGGAAATTCCTGGTGACTGACTTCCTTCCTGCAGATTCTGTGGTCTGTGTCTGTCATCAGTCCCCAGGTGATCGGTGCCAAAGCCTCATTCATGGTGTGCAGGTACCTGGGAGCTGTTCTGAGTTCTGCAGGTTTGGGCTGCAGTTCTGTTTGCTGGGGCTGGTATTTGTGGGAGCAGTTGGAAGCTGACCAGAGGTGCTGTAGAACACTCTGTACACTGGGCTGTGAAAGGATTGTTTTTCTGCCTCCAAACCCCTCATTTCACACTTGTGGTGGGAGTTGTCCTTGGCTAAAGGCTGGTGAGGGTGGGTTACTGGAGCCCAGTCCACGGCCATGAGCAGCACAGTTCAGCTGCTCCAGTGGTGCAGGAGTGAGGGATCCAGAGCAGCTTGGCTCTGTCTCTCTGTTCAGATGGGGCAGCCTGGAGCTGAGGTGAGTTCTTTCCTGATCAGGTGAGTTTAACGAGCAGTTGTTCTTCTCTTTTGCAGGCTGCAGAACCTGCCCTTTGCTTTGACAAATCTTAACCTGAAAGCCCTGTGGCTGGCAGAAAACCAGTCCCAGCCCATGCTGAAATTCCAAACCGAGGATGATGAAAAGACAGGAGAAAAGGTTCTCACTTGCTACCTTCTCCCTCAGCAGCCCTCTCCCAGCCTGGGTAAGAATCTGTGTCACAAGCACTGGCTGCAGAGCCATGTACTCCAGAGGGGGCTGAGGCCTTGAACCTTCCTCCCTGCTGGGTTGGACTGTCCCTCACTGTGATTCCTGTAGCAGATCCAGGCTCCTGAACAGCTGGGACACTTTTCTCAGGCAGAGATTGTTAAAACTGAGGAATTGCTTCTCTACCAGGTGATAAGGAAGCTGCAGCCTTGTCTCTGAGTGTTCTCCTTTGATCTACTGACTGAGCAGTTCATTACCTATTGTCCTATCACCATGATATTGTGTCAATACTACGGATTCCTGCCTTAATCCTACATTTCTCCTTACTTCTTGAGTAAGGAGCACTAGAGCTAAACCATCAGGCCCTTCTGTAGAGGTGGCTGTAGATCTGGTGGGAGATGTACAGAAGGTGACAGGAGCTGGAGGCTACAGCCTTTGTCCTCAAGGCCTCTGATGCCATGGGCAGATACGGCAGAAGTGCCCTAATGGGGTGAGCACTGACTTTTATCCAAGCCTGGAACCCTGCCCCTCCTGAAAGGAGCTCCCACTGTGTTCCCTCTCTCCCCAGAGAACCTCCTGCAGAACAGTGTGGATGAAAGCTGGACAGACACCAACTTAAACAGAGTCAGTGTCATCCAGTTCCTGGACGAACCCAAAGGAGATGATGAGGAGGAGTCTGGAGCTGAGAGACGGGTAAGAAGTTCCTGGAGGCTTGTTGGCTCCCTGTGGAAACACAGGCACAAGCTAAGCTTTCTGACTCTGGGGAGCCACTGTGGTGTCCATATTTGACACTGCTGCGGGCATGTGTGAGATTTTCCCAACCCAAAGGGCATTTGGTGCCTTGAGGAGCCAAGCAGGAGTGAAAGGGAATGAATTCCTTGGGAGCCGTGGTGCAGGATCTCGTTTTGAGGCTGTCCCATCCACAGGAGTGGAGCTGTGACACTGAAGTACCCAGGGAGCACTGGGGATGTCCAGAAATCCCAGTAGAGCACTGTCAGGGCAGGGTTTAGCTGACCCCTGTCATGGGGAAGAGCTGCCCAACCAAACCCAGGCCATCCCTCTCCCTCCAAGCACAGAGCCAATGCAGTCTGTGCTGTGGGAATCCTGTTAGTAAAGTACTAAATACTGTAGGCAGCCTCAAAACCTGCAGGAGATCATTGTGCTTTCAGTGCACATGCAAAGGACAGGATAAAAGTTTGTTTTCAGCGAGTGCTCTGGGGGTTTCAGTCTCCTGCAGGATTTTTTTTTCCTTTTTATCTTGTGGAAAACCATTTTTGAAATCTGAATCCTGATGAGTGGTGTTTGCAGCTGTCCTGGCAGCATGTGTGTACCACTGGCATTGGGAAGTTTGGGGTTTTTTTGATTGTTTTTAACATTTTTATTAATTTTAGAGTGCTGGTTTTCTTGACTCTTGCTTGGGATGGAACTTGCTAAGCAGCACCAATTCTGGTGCTTTTGGGCTTGGCAGACTCCAGAGGGATTAGGAAGATATCCCAAGAAGATTTCCTACCTGTGTTCTGGAGGGGTTTCAGTGTCAATGATTTTGCATTTACTAAGCCTGAAGCACCATTTAAAAATTCCTGTCTCCATCGTTCCTCCCAGTCCCTCTGTCAGATGGAGAGCAGGATGATGTCCAGAGGCAGCTGAGTGTTCCCTGCCTCCGTTCTTTCCCCATCCTTCCCAGCCACAGGCTGTGTGAGGCCTGGAGCAGATCCTGCAGTGGGACACTGGTCGTGTCTGGCTGAGGCTCTGGCTCTCTGATAGAGGTGTTAGTTACCTGCAGGGGTTCGTTCCTGAGGCCTGGCACGCACTGCCCAGGCTGGAACCCCTTTCCTGAGGGTTTCCCTTCGGCAGGGCCTGCAGCGCCGAGCCACCCCTCACCCCAGCGAGCTGAAGGTGATGAAGAAGGTGATCGAAGTTCGGCGTAACGAGGTGAACGCCGCAAAGGCCGATGCTGACCTCAACTCTCCTAACTCAGAAGTGAGTGCTGGTCACTGGGCGGTGGATAACCATAGGAAACATGGAATCATGGAATGGTTTGGGTTGGAAGGGACCTTACAGACCATCCAGTTCTACCCCTTGCCATGGGGGGCACCTTCCACTAGGAACATGTAGAGAATCTGGGGAATGGAGAGTCAGAAAGGACTGACTTTGGGGAAAGATTGGGAGGGACTGAGAACAGATTGTCTGGATTCCAAGGGTTGGGAATCTGCCTTGTGGTGTCAGGACAGGCCACTTAGATAGAGGAATAGATGGGACCAGGAGACAGGGAACGGTAAGGGGAACTATGTGTGAAGGTGCCACTTTTGTTATAGCACAGGGAGGGAAAGAGAAGGCTCTGATATTGCCAGTAAGGAATGGTGGGAATGGAGCACTTGGAGAAGGCACCTTGCTGCCCCGGTGGGATACTGAGAATAAATGCCTACACAGGAGGTGGAATGAGGTGGACCCAGATGTAATGGAGGAGGCTCAGTGGGGGAAGCCTTGGGCAGCCTGAGGGAAAGCTGGTTCTGTTGGTGCTGGATCATTCCCACCTCACACCAGTCACACTGCATGGCTCCGTTTGCTGCTCTGGGTTCCATCCTGACCACCCCAACTCTCCTCTCAGGAGAAGAGGCTGAGTGCCACGTCGAACCGCAGTGAGGACTCCCACGTGTCCACCAGCACTGCCTCTGCAGACTGCAGGGCAGAGGAGGGGGACCGGGGCTGGCCCAACGGGCAGGTGCCCAACGTGCGGGAGCTGGAGAAGGAGGCAAAGCCCAGAGCAGAAGAGGAGCATAAGGAAGCTGCTGGCCAGGAGGAGGAAGATGTGGAAGTGGAATACAATGAGGTAGGAGCCTGAGAACTGCAGCAGGGTCATGAGGAAAAGTGGAAGGACGTGGAATTTTCAGAGGAAATGGGAAATGGACGTACAGGTAAACGGGTGTGGGATATGGGCATCACTGGAGGCAGACCCAGAGCATGGAAGGCAGCACAAGCTGAGATTGGGCAACCTAAACTGAGACTGAGGCAGCCTGTGGGAGTTGGATCCTTGGGAAACTGGGCTGGACAGTGTGGGAACCTGACAGGGGATATGGGAAAATGGGAGTGACTGTGACAGGTTTGAGTGTCCTTCATCCAAAAAGCTGACAGAAGCATGTCTGGGGGAAGGAGCTGATATGGAAAAAGGCAAGGATGGTGCAATAGTAACACCTTTCCTGCATGTCCCTGAGCACACGAGCAGTGAAACTGGCTCTGCCCGGTCTGGGAGGGGGACACGTGGCCAGCAGGCTCTGCACTGCCACACATCAGGTACCTGAGGCTCACGGCCTGTCTGGGGCTTTGCCATCGCAGCCCACTGTACACTTTGCTGAGGACACACTGATACGGAGTGAGGATGAGGATGAAGATGAAGAGCGACCATTCCCAGTGGAGAAGCAGAGGCTTATCCGCAAGGACACGCCCCATTATAAGAAACACTTCAAGATCACTAAACTGCCCAAGCCAGAGGCAGTGGTGGCACTTCTGCAGGGGCTGAACAGCGACGGGGTCCCTAAAGAGGAAGAGGAGTTGGGAGGCTGCAATAACAACACAGAGCCCGAGGAACAGGAGGAAGCGTGGGATGAGGATGACAGGAAGAATGGAGCTTTGTCTGCTCAGCCGTCCGTGAAGGTAAGGTCTTGTGGGGAGGGGGAAGGTCAGAGGGGTGCACACCTGCCCTCTCCTCCTTTGACCTGCCAGGCAGGCTGATGTTGTCCCGAAGAAACCGCTGGCAAGAGGCTCCAGCACTTGGGGATGTGCTGGGGGTGGGAGAGCTGAAGCTTGTTCTGGGGCTCATAGGGTTGTCCAAGACCTGTGCCATGTTGCTGTTTCTGACTCCTTCACTGTATCAGGTCCTTGCACCCTCCCTGTCCTGTGTGATGTTCCCTGTGCTGCAGGAACAGTTCTCTGTCCCATCGCTGATGGGTTCTGCTGTTCCTTCCAGCCACCTCCTCGCTTGCTGGTTGTTGCCCCTCATTCACAGCAGGATGAGCTTTATCCCTGGGTGGATCCAATCTCAGACTGATGTTTGGGCCACTGACACTTGGCTTGCTGCCACAGTGCTTCCAGAGTGTGCGAGGGGAGCCCAGAGCATGCCCTTCCCTGTGCTTCCACCTAAATGGAGCCCAATGGATGCTGTGTTGGGATTTAGGGGAGCTTGTGCTCTGGAGCTTTGCCATGGGGCCATGGTGGGCCTTATTGGTCATACTGGGGCTGATGAGATCCGAGGTCCTTGGCTCTGCTCAGCCGTTAGGGACACACAGAGGTTCCTGCTTGAGGAAGTTCATCACAGTGGAATAGGAGTACACGGATGAGGAACACTGCATGAGGCTGGAGCAGTTCTCCCCAAAGCTGGTGTGAGGTGTATTTGGCAGGCAGGGATTAGGATATGGTTGAGTCTCCATCTTAGTCTGACACCAGCAAATCTCACAGGTGGGATGTGGGTCTCCAGACATAGAAGCTGCTGGAGTAAAACCTGTTCCTGCTGTAACTGCACGTGCTCCAGACTACCAGGATCATTCCCACCCCCAGTGGAGCTCAGATTGCCCAGGGGAAAGTCCTTGCCCTCACTTTGCTTTGGAGCCTTTTCCTCTGTGGGTTTTTGCCCTGCTCTGCCTGAGCTGATGCAGCTCATCCCGTGCTCCCTAGGGATGAGACGTACAGTCTCCCTGTTGGTGAAGTTCCTCAGAAGGAAAAGGAGTTGCTACTGCTTGTAGGAATGTATGAAGCTGTCCTGAGTCCCTTCATCCAAGATCTGCTGTGCTTGGGAAACCCAGAAAGGTTTTTTAGCCAGGGACTTGGAGCTGAGGAGGCACTGAAGCTCTGGCAGAGCCCACGAGGCCTGTTCAGGTGTGCTGTACCTGTCAGAAGTGACCTTGGTTATGGGCTAAGCCTTCTGCCTGGGAATCAGTTCTCCTTTCTGTGGGGCTGGGTTGGATGCCTGCTCCATGAAGGCATTTATTAGCTGCCACCTGAGCTGCATCCCAAGAGTGGGGATGTGGGGAGCAGCGTCCCTGTGCAGGGGAGGCTCAGGTAGGAGGTGATATGTGCATTGAAGAAGGAGGCAGGACAGGCTGTGCAGGAGGCTGAATCCTTAAACCAGAGGGTTTTGTTGCCAAGACAATTGGTTTTCAGAAGAAATCCTAAGGTTTCCTGCACTTGGGAGCAGGATCCTGGGTGTCTGACAGGATGCACTGTTTCACCAGAGAAAGGCACCGGTGCAGTTGAGTTTGGGATTGCTTTTTGCTGTGCAGCAGCTGGTGGCACCACAGGCTCCTTGGTGCTTTCTCCTGTGTTTAACTCTTCCTCCTTCCTGGAATAACCTGGTACAGAGGCAGGGTGAGGTCAGCTGATGGTGGTCAGCTCAGGGGCCATGGCCTTGGGGTGCCAGCACAGACAGAACCTGGCCTTATGGGGTGCCCCTGGGCACGAGCACGCTGGCACTCAGCATGCTGGGAGCCCAGGAACAGCCCTGGCACCACTGAGGTGGTGGGCAGGAGTGGGGGCTGCTCGGGTGCTGTGAAGGTCAGGAGTGACTCTGTGAGTGGGCTCAGCTCTGGAGCTGTGGAGGTCAGGAGTGACTCTGTGAGTGGGCTCAGCTCCAGAGCTGTGGAGGTCAGGAGTGACTCTGTGAGTGGGCTCAGCTCCAGAGCTGTGGAGGTCAGGAGTGACTCTGGAGCTGTGGAGGTCAGGAGTGACTCTGGGAGCTGTGGGAGTCAGGAGTCAGGTGGAGGTCAAGGAGTGACTCACTGGGAGGTCAGGAGTGACTCCTGTGGAGGTCAGGAGGTGCTGGCTGGCAGCCCCCAGAGCTGTGGAAGGTCAGGCAGTGACTCTGGGAGCTGTGGAGGTCAGGAGTGACTGGGAGCTGTGGAGGTCAGGAGTGACTCTGGAGCTGTGGAGGTCAGGAGTGACTCTGGAGCTGTGGAGGTCCAGGAGTGACCAGCTGTGGAGGTCCAGGAGTGACTCCTGGGCTGAACCCAGCCCCAGAGCCCTGTGAAGGTCAGGAGTGACTCTGGGGCTGACCCAGCCCCAGAGCTGTGAAGGTCAGGAGTGACTCTGGGGCTGACCCAGCCCCAGAGCTGTGGAGGTCAGGAGCGACTCTGGGGCTGGCCCAGCTCCGCGCAGCGTACCCAGGCTGCCAGCGTGGCGTGCGTGTGTTGGGTGGTGGTGGTGGTCGTGGTGGCGGGTTTGGTCGATGCTCCACTAATCCGCATGCCTCTTTGCTGGTTCCTGTCCTAACAGGGGGTGTCGTTTGATCAAGCCAATAATCTGCTGATTGAACCTGCTCGCATTGAGGAGGAAGAGGTCTGTACCACTCCTACTGTTCTCTCTCTGCCAAAAATCATCCAGTCTGCTTGATTTGCTTCCCAGCCTCACCCGTTGTTGTAGGGGGAACTCTGATCTCTCTGGGTCAAGTGGCTTCTGGACCTGGCTGATCACAAACATGATGATCGTTTCCTCCCTGCTTTCCCCTTTCCCTCCTTTCCCATCCCTGAGGTGAGAGTGGCTGCTGCAGAGCAGGAGTGAAGTGGATGTAAAAAACCAAAGGGGCTGAGGGGGAAGTTCCTATTTGCTGTGTGCTGAGGGAGAAGTGAATGAAATAAATGGATATTTCTGGAAGTGTAGGTAACTCTGGAGGAGCAGAGGCCTCAGGAATCAGCCCAGTGCTGTGTGTGACCCTTAGGGACAGGGAGGAGGATCTCACTCATGACACTGTGCCACTGCCTGAGGAAGGCGGACTGGAGACAATGATTTGTGCATCTCCTGCAGCACCTCCAGAACCCCCTCAAGGCTTCACATGCAGCACCTTGGGGTGTCAGAAAGGGGCAGGTGGCACCAAGGTGCCACAAAGTCCCTGGCACGGGGATGGTGTCCATACCAAGGGTTAAAGTCTTGTGTCTGGCTGCCTTGGCTTATCCCCTGACTGTGATCAGCTTCCTGGGCTTGTCTGCAGGTTTTCAGTGCCTGCTCTGCGGGGTCAGTGGCCTTCTGCAGGCAGGTTTTCAAGGAGCTGCTGGAAGCAGAGTGCTGCTGTCACTGGCAAGAGGCAGAACCTGTGTCAGTGCCACCGGCTCGCACAGAGGTTTCTCCCGTAGGACAGTGCAGGGGCACCAGACCTGTGTGTTACCTGAGTGTGTTACCTGGGGCTGCTGGCCTGGGCCTCTACAAGAACTTGGTTCTGCTGCTTTCTCAGGTGTAAAATGGAGGCTCTCCTTGGTTTTGGATAAGGCTTTCTGGGAGGGAGATGATGAATCTTTTCCACTCAGGCAGAACATGAGTTGGCTCAGGTGTGGTCCCCTGTTAGTGGGTCCTGAAGATTTCTCCATCTTTCTCCATCTCTAGGTCCCTGAAAACCACAGTAACATTTCTTGCATTTCTCTTTTGTGTAATCTTCTGTCACTCAGGTTAAAACTGAACATAAGCTGGTGCTTCCTGATCCCTCCTCCCCCTTCCTTTGGGGAGTCACTGCTTCCAGTCCTTCTCTCCAGCTGTTGGATACCCTGTTCCATTTGCAGAGTTTTCCTGCTCCTTGGGGTGCTGTGTCCTAGGAATCTTAGTCTGCCCACCTCTTCCTTGGCTCCTGCTCCACCTGCATCTGATGGAAGGGCCTAGAACTCCTTCCCTGGAGGTGTTGGGTGAAACAACTGGACGTGGCACTCAGTGCTTTGGTCTAGTTGACAAGATGGTCAGTCACAGGTTGGACTCAATGATCTTGGAAGTTTTTTCCAACCTAAATGATTCTGTGATCCCTCAGTGGGGCTGGTTGGAGGCCCCAGATTTGCTCTGGTGTCCCCTCAACACAGCCCCCTTTGTGTGGATCTGTTCCCTCTCTGTGGTTGTGCAGCTCCCAAGGACCAGCATTCCCAAGAACCCCCAGACTGATGGTGGTAGCTGAAGTCACCTCAGAGTAGACCAGCTTTGGGAGGTTGATTTGGGACATTTGATTGTCCCACAGCTTTGGGGAGTGCTTAGCAGGGAATCTTTCACTAGACCAAGCTGCTCCAAGCTCCATCCAACCTGGCCTTGAACACTTCCAAATCACATCTGCCTCATGTGTTCAGGGATGATTCCATGTCCTTGAGAAGAACCAGTGGGCTGCTGGAAACTGAGCAAGGCCACTGCAGAGCAGAGGGCCTGGTGCCCTTGAGCAGCATGGTTTAAGTCCCTGATGCTGCTGTCACATTCCTTGTATAATTTAATGCAGCTCTTAGAGAGAAGGAACTACAGGCTGTGTGTTCCTTAAGCCTAAACCATAATCCTGTGCCAGAGACTGATCTTGCCATGGCAGAACTGGAGACATGTGCCCAGCTTCTGCCAGCACCCAGCACTGGGGTGTGGGAGCCTGGTACTGGTGTGCAGCAGGGATGCCCAGAGCTCCTGTAGCTGTTGCTGCCAATGGGGTTCTGCTGCAGTGGAAGAGGAATTTTGTTCCAATGTGTGATATCTGATGGTGGATATCTGGATTCCAGTGCTGACTCTGTTCCCAGTGTTTTGTCTCCATCCCCATCTGCCCCACAGAAGTGACTGTAGTGGGATGTAGGGAGGCTTTGGGAGGAGAAAAGCAGCATGTGGAGCGGCTGTTTGATGGGGTGAGGTTGGACCTGAACTGTTGTCTGGGGAACATTGACAGGATTTTGTCTTCCCCTCCACCCTGGGCTGCCTGGGCAGGGGGAGCTGTCAGTTCCCTCCCTGGGAAGGAGTGAAGGTGGTCAGAGCTCTTGGACATTGATTTCTTTGCTGCTACTGCTCAGGTGTCACATCCTGTGGGTCCACAGTCAGGAGTGAGTCAAGTCTTGTCCTTGAAGGAGTCTCATCCTGTGGAAACTGCTCAGGAATGTTACCATTTGTGTTGGAATGCCAGCCTCAGGCCTGGCACCAGTTAGTGTTTGCCAGTGGCAGATGTGACAGCACAACCTGGTCCTGGAGCATCCTGTGCTCCGCAGTTCAGCTGTGGAAAGGCTGGCACACATAGTGTGGAGTGTTGGGATGTGTCAGGAGCAGTCCTCTCCCTCCTGGAGCATCCCATGCTTGGCAGTTCAGCTGTGGAAAGGCTGGCCCACGTAGTGTGGAGTGTTGGGATGTGTCAGGAGCAGTCCTGTCCCTCCTGGAGCATCCCACACTCAGCAGTTCAGCTGTGGAAAGGCTGGCACATGTAGTGTGGAGTGTTGGGATGTGTCAGGAGCAGTCCTGTCCCTCCTGGAGCATCCTGTGCTGGGCAGTTCAGCTGTGGAAAGGGCAGCCCCTCGGTGTGCATTGTTGGGATGCAACAGGAGCCATCCTGGCCCTCCCCGTGGGCTGCTTGGTGCTGCTGCACATGTCAAGCTCTGCCCCTCGCTCTGGTTTTGTGTTCATAGGGTGACTGGGCTTCATCGGGGTGTTGTCAGGCTCGGAATTATTTTGTAGCAAATTTGATTTTCCCCCAATGCGACCCATAAATTTTAAACCCAGAAAAGATTAGTAAACTTCTCGTGTAATGCAGGAGAGGTCACGTCACCTGTGTTTGCTCACCTGGCTTGACTGGAGTATGATAGAGCAGAGTCCTTTTGACGTTTGAAAAAGACACAACACTCACGTTTCTATCAATTTTTAAAATGACCAAAGTTCCCGTTGACTAAGAAAAAATGTGCCATATTTTCTGTTTTAATTAGTCTGGCTTTTAATTTCTTGCCTTTGGAATGTTTTTGCCTACTGAAGTGCAAAAGGGCCTTTTGTGTTCTCTATGGAATCACAGAATGGTTTGGATTGGAAGGGACCTTTTAAAGGTCCCCCAGTCCCACCCCCTGCCATGGGCAGGGACACCTTCCCCTAGACCAGGTTGCTCCAAGCCCTGTTCAACCTGTCCTTGAGCACTTCCAGGGATGGGGCAGTCACAGCTTCTCTGGGACAGTGTTCTGACACCTTCCTTGCTCTGTGACCCTCTGGTTTGGAGGTGGGATCGTGATCTCTTCCTGTGAAAGTACAGTTTCAAGTTTGGCCATGATAAGGCACAGTTTGGACACAAGTGCCCCTCAAAATGATAGAGATTAATGACTTGTATGATTGCTGCTTGTTCATCATCGGTCACTGTCTCAGCTGTGAATTCTGTCTGATCCAGAGCTTCCCTAAGGACCAAGGAGCAAACCTGTGGAATGATTTCTTACACAAATGCAGAACTACCTGCAGAGTTTCCTTTCCCTGCTCCAAGAGTGGGCCAGAGTCATCTGATTCTGCTCTGTCACACAATAATCTTGTTGGCTTTCGCAGAGAGAAGGAGCAGAAAGCAGCAGAGGAGTGACTGGCAGAGAGAAAATTCCATGTGCAAACAAAACACTCCACGGCGAATCTGATTATCCCTTCTGAACCAGACAAATGCCCAGTATAACAGACATGGGGCTTTGCTGCCTGGAGCCAGGATCATGTACAAAATTCAGACATTAAAATAGCCACTGTAGAAGTTGCCAGGGCTGAAGCACTTATGTGCCTTAAAATGGTCCCCGTTTGCAGCTGTGTGTTCAGAACTGTCAGTGGAGGAGAAGGGGAACTCCCAGACAGCTCCGAGACTTTGTGGTGGAAAACAATCCCCAGCTTGGATCCAGGCACTAGATAGAATGAGGCCTGACTGGGATAGGTTGGCATTTCTGGAAGATACAATTTAGACAAAAAAGGGCTGTGCTCAACTCAGGAGCAGCAAGGCTGAATTTGCAATGAACATAACACAGAGGATTTGGAAGAAGTCTTGAGGTCAAGTCTTCTGCCACCACTGGCAATCAGACACTAAGTCAGTCAAACTTTTTATGAAATACAGATTGTTTCCTCCTGTTACAAGACGTGCACACACACACACAGGTTTCTCCTCTGGGGAGAAACCCAAACCTTTCCAGATTTTTACTTTGGGAATAATTAGAAAACTTACTTTCAGTTGGAACTGTCATTTGTTAGTTCGTTGTTTTCATTGTACTTTTTCTTGTCCAGTCTCTTCCCTGCTGGCTGACCCATTGCTTGTCCTCAGTGTAATTTTATGGACATCAACCTGACTCCTTCCAGCCTTCCTTTTGCTGGATTTAGAGAACCCAGTTCTGGTATTCTTTGGTAAGAAGGATTTCCATTCCCTGCCTTTCTGGCTGCCTTTTCTTTCACCTGATCTACTTGAACTCAGGTTTGGTGACTATGGACAATATCACAGAGTTTATTCAGATTTTAGTACACTAAAAACATAGTTGTTTCTCCATTTCAAATGTGGCAGTTCCCATTCCTGGATGGGAGTTGTCTTTATCCACCTTTATTTGTGCCTTTGTTATACCCTTAGCCTTTGTTCCTGTGCCCCTCAGGGTCCTTGGGGAGGTTTGGCCTCCAGACAAGGTGTACTTAAGAGATGTCTCTCGTGTGCTTTAAAGTGAATGATACCAGGTTTATTGCAAGAGTTTTCCCTATATCCCACTGTTCCTTGGACAAACACTCTCATCTGGTGTGGCCTGCCCTTAGCAGAGGAGAGTTGTAAAGTCCCCAGTCTTTGCAGTCTTGTAATTATATGTTAAATGATGGCCAAAATTTAGAACCTTCTGAAGTGGCTGGGCTGAGAGGAGTCTCCAGTGGAATTTTGTAGTGGAATGGTGCAAAATGAATGACTGCTCCAAGGATTTCACCACACAAAAAGAATCAATAAGATGCTAAAGAAAGGAAGTAGAACGTGTTCCCAGTGTCACCCATTCCAGCTGAATCCGGGTGTAGGTTTTTGTCCTCTTTCCAGTTCTGGAACAGTTTGAGGCTCAGTGGCTTTGGCCAATGCTCATTTTGCTTCACTTTAAGCCGTTGAGTGTTTTCATTTCCAAAGGACCCTGTCCTGCTGCATTCCACAGTCTGGCCAGCCCAGATTCTTGCAGGATCCCCTCCTCTGTGCCCATGGCAAAGCTGGTTGCCCATGGTGACAGGAGGAAGTACCAGCTTCCTAAATCCCTAGTTCTGGAGTTCATTAGTGAAATAACTAATCCTGAATTGTAAAGCAGCCTGGGCTCAGGGGACCTCGAAAGGCCCAAGGTTTTGTGGGGAAGGAGCCTTGGTGAGGGTATCAGCACCCCAGACCATTGCATCTGGAAACTCTCCAGGGACAGGACTCGGCACCTCCTTGGGGAGTTTGTCCCAGAGGAGGATTGTTCTCACTGCAAACATTTCTTTCTTATGTCAAGGTGAAATATCTTTCTATAGACACACGTATAGATGTAAATATTTGTATCTAACACGACTCCTCTCCCTGATAGCTGCTAACCATGGCCATAGAGATCCGTATCGAGATTGTCTGTGGGAACCTTGCCTCGGGTGTTATTTGTGCTTTGAGTGTCACCACAGTTCATGTTTTTAAAAGGCATCCTTTCTTCCTCCTCCCTTTGGGAAATGTAGTCACTATCCTGGAGTCTCCCTGGGGAGGAATGTGCAGAAGCAGAGCAGAGCCCTGAGTGTGGCAGGTCCCCTGTCCCATCTGCTCCTGGTGCTCTGTCACCAGTGGGGCTGTGGCAGGTCCCCTGTCCCATCTGCTCCTGGTGCTCTGTCACCAGTGGGGCTGTGGCAGGTCCCCTGTCCCATCTGCTCCTGGTACTCTGTCACCAGTGGGGCTGTGGCAGGTCCCCTGTCCTGTCTGCTCCTGGTGCTCTGTCACCAGTGGGGCTGTGGCAGGTCCCCTGTCC